ATAGGATGTGCACTGTGACCCTTATTACAGCTGTGGCCCTGATTTGTAAACAAATATAAAAAAAAAAAAATCACCACCACCACCTCAGAGCTGCTCGTGTAATTGCAGGTAGACATTCGTTTTACAGAATATACAGTATAAAACAGAAGGCCACTAAACATTTTAAAACTGCTATAGGAACTTGTGTAGATACAATCTCAGTAATAGGACATACTCATTTGCAGCTGTCATGCCCTATTAAAACCTACTTTTCCTCTTTCTAGGGATTACTAATTAGTTCACTTAATTTATGTTTTAATTTGCATGCTGCTCTTTTAATTACTGTGCAATTTCTGAAATTGTATCTTCACTTGTTCCACGTTTACACAGACACATACAAATATTTCAGTACCTCTACAAAAAAAAGCTTATCGCACTATAGCACTGACGTCGCTCAAGAACAGGGACAGCTGGCTTGACACAGAAAGCTTTGTGATGGGTGAGGGGGGAAGGAAAAAAAAATGAATAATAATAAAAAAAATCATTGGGTCCCTAGGTAGTGAGATTTTCAGTAAGCTGATACTTTTATTAATCTTCAATGTTCTTTCCAGACTTTAAACATGTAGTAAGACCATTTTATTTAGTCTAAGATATTTGTAAAGGTCTGAAATTTAAATGATCATGTGGATATTAGTATTTAATCTGTCTGCCTGCCAACTATATTAATCCTGGTGGTTCTCCCCTTTGAAAATAACATTCCAAGTACGTATCGTGTAGCCAAGCCATACGACAGCTGATTGTCCTCAGGTCTGCCTGACTGGCGAGTACCAGCAGGTTCAGAAGGGAAACCGTGGCTGTAGGAGGAGCAGGCTTAGGAGAGCAGAAGACAGTTGAGCATTTTTCTTAAAATATAGAAATGATAGAAGCCATGGTCATTTCCCGGGGCTTTAGATAACTAGCTTGCACCACCCTATTGGTAACTGTTGATGAACGAGGTGGTTTTGAGAAACCTGGTTCTGTGGAACGCAGAATCCCCTCTATACGAGCATACCACGTTACGGTAACAGTCCATGAATTAAATGAATCTTACAGAAGTCCTGCCTGTACCTAATTAACATTGGTGACAAAACTCCCAAAACCCTCACTTTAAGAGTAGTATTACACATGGGAAGATGTGACAGGCACCACAAATGAGAAAAAGACGTGCTGGACAGTTGTACGCGTAGCTCTGCACAGCCCCCTTCTCCCTGCCGCAAGAGCGCCTGCCTTTTAAAAGCTTACCTATAGCAGGACATCCTCATTCAAATAAAGCACTCGATGCGTGTAATCTTCCTCTCCCAAAGAATGCATGTTTCTTTTCATCGAGTAAGAATACTAACACTTCAGCTACAATGTGGAAACAAGCAGATCCCTACTGGTCAAAGCAAATAATATTTACTTAAACATAACTGCCTCGGTCTACTGACCTTGCTGAAGTTAAACTGCATTGGGGGATGACTGGTAAAAATCATGGCTGACACACCTTTAACTTGGAACAGAGAAAGGAAGTCCAGCAAGCTGTTAAAACACAAAGATGATTCAAAAAGTCAGTGATAATGTGCAGTGTAACAAGCTTGAAAAAAGTCAAAACTTCCTGCTGAAAAATACTTTGCTTTCCTCCTTTCATATGCACTGAAACAAAGCTGATTCCCTAACTGCACCTTTCTCAATCCATCCCAACATAAAAACAACCAAAAAAGTCATTTTTCAAATTACACAATTTATTTAGTATACAAGTCATTACATCTCTTTACAACAACACATTATAAAATAACTATGTTAGATCTCACTGGCAGAACACTGAAACAAGAAATGAAAATATACTTATGGATCTCAAAGGCTTTTCTCCCCTAAAAACATTCCAGCTACTTGCTAACATTTTGTCTCTGTGATCTAAAAAGTCATTCACGCCACAATTCCACTGATGATGCGCAGCTTAAAAGTCCTTGCAGACAACAAATGATGTACGCAAGAAGTCACGATGGTGCCACTCCCGTCGCTAGTTACCTGTAAGCCTTCAGTAAATGCATTGCCACGAGGGTTGTTCTTGGGGGCAGATCATACTTAATACAATGAAACAGCGATGCCGCAGCCACCACTTGGAAATAACGTGCACCAGGATGATGCAGTTCAGGAACAGGTAAAGTTATTTTTAAAAAAAATTGCACATTTTTAATGCAGTGAATACAGATCACAGCGAGACACGGGAAGTAGAGAAAATAATTATCAGACAACTAAAACACCACCTACCTCCTAGAAGGCTCAGACTCTTACACCCGACCTCTAGGAACAGGAAACGTAGCCCTTTTTACCACCCGTCCCACAGCCCCAGACCTCAGCCAGCACGGACCGCTCACCGCTGCTCCAGCCGTCCCCAGCATGCTCTGCTCTGACGGGCAAGCCTTTAAATCAGGGACAGAAGCAGCTGCTCCCTCTCTCCGAGAGCTGTGTTGATGCGTGTATTGCTTTCCTCCGAGCTGGTAAGTGGGTTTGTTCCTTGGCGTTCTCTATTTTCCTATTTTAAGGAGATTGGTCTTCTGAAGGCTGTAACACTGTACTACGTAGTCACTGAAATACACCCTTGCCTTTAGTATTAAATCTTTCTGATACAGGAACCGCTGGAATTGTTTGAAAATGTCACAGGCTACCTAGGCTTTAAAGACTGTCAACTGCAAGAGTTAAGCAATCTCCAAAATACTTTGTTACCTAATACTTCAAATTTCTGGTGTGCTACTTTGGGGCTGCTTGTATTGCAAGAAGAAACTGTGTTGCTGTGGTGGTTCTGAATCATGACAGCCTTTGCTTTCCCAAGACCTACAGTAGCTTGGGATCTATCTTGTTTTAAAAAACCCCAAACCCCCCAAAAATTGCACTTGGTAGTTCCTACAAAAAGGTTAAATTTCTCCTTTGGCAACATTAGAGACTGTGTTTTTGAAAAAAAGACTATTTAAAAATAACTACTGTTACAGTCAGGACGACTTAGTCTCAGCTGTTACCTACAAGTAAATTCTGAGAATGATAGGGTACCACTGGATCTTGGAATCTCTCATTTCAATCAGAGGAAAGTTACTGCACCTTTAAAGAAAGATACAACCACATTTTAAAATAAGACAATACAGCCTAGACATCCTTTACCTTACGTGTGCTTGTTTTCAATTACTGTAAGGCACTCATTGAGGAATTCACTGACCCATGCTTTCAGCAAGAACAGGCATGCATCATTACGGGCCTAATTAAAGTTTTAATACTGATTAAAATGTTTTATTATTGTATTATGTTAAACTGCAGTGGTCTCCAACCTCATTAAGGGATACAGGCTAGAAATTACTCAGGAGTTTCAGTTGCTCAGTTTAACAACCTAGCTACTGTCAATGTTTGATTTAAATACAGTCTGATTAAAGCACACTTTCCTTTTGTGTTAGCATGGAAGTGCAGAAAGATGTTGAACATTGTTTAATGAGTATTTACTGAATATAAAATTGTTTGAGCATGTGACATCTCCATCTCTTCAGTAATTTACCTTAGTACAACTGAAAAGGGAAAACATTTAAATCACTTGGAATTGGAACACAGCTCAGTTGTGAAAGCTAATCTCATTACACATCTTGATTAAATTAAATGTGGAGTTTGCCATCAGTAGCACTTTAAGTTTCCCATCATTAGAAATTAATTGCAGTGGTAATTATTATAACTGAGTTATTTGCACAGGCCACAAACACCCTTATAGGCGTCCAAATGTTAATTCAACATTGGCCTAGAGGCACTTGATTACTACAATTCCGTTTTTCATAAGAAACAAATGATCCTAGTGGATGTCTAATTAAAGTTGGAGAGTACTGTTAGACTTTCAATCAGACTTAATCTCTAATTTCAATATAAAACCAAAGCAGCGCTAAAACACAGCAAAAGTCATGTGTTATCTACATAGCATTTAGAAAGCAATACAATTCACAAAGTTCTAGCTGGTAAAACGACAAAGGGTACAAACAAATCACAAAATTCTCAGGATTGAGGCCTGTCTTCACTTAATCTTCCAAGTCAATTTAAAATAACTTTAGCCTATTTTTTAGGATAAAGAGCAAGGACACAATGATTTTGTGCTAAAATATATAGCTTTGTGTCTGAAATAATGTGAAGCAAAGCTCTAATACCTGAACATATTTTAAATCCCTAAGTTTCCTGC